TTCTGCCCAAACCACGGTGTCCAGTCTGGCACCGGGGAAAATGGAGCCCCTGACTCCTGGTGAGCAAAACTGCCCTGTAGTCTGCACAGTGATGCGTGGTTGGAACTTTACACATACACTGTGTTGTCATTATTAATAGGGGAAATGGAAAGAGAACAGAGAAACTTAAACCAAGTTGTGATGTGTTTGGGCAAAAACCTTCTTGTTTATCAATCAAACTTCTATCTATAGGCATCAGCCACAAATATTAAAGGTACACCTTAGGTTAAAAGTAATATTTTAAAACCAAACATTTTCTTGTCTCTCATTCATCTGAGATAGATAAAAATGGGAGGAAATGTCTAAATTACTTTACATAATTTATTCAGTCTATGTACTTTTTAATTTATCTTATATTTAACAATGAAAACAGCCTGGTCAATTTCACTTCTATTCATCAGTGCTGGGATGTTTTAAAAGCAAGCCTTTGTCATTTAAAGAAATCATAGAGAATTCCATTCATAATATGATTTTTAAAACTTTTTTTAGTGTAATCTACTGTGTTGACACAGTAGATTAAAGTAAAGAGCAATACAGTGAGGTGGCAAGAGATTAAAGCAAAAGAATAGAGAATTCATAAGAAATTAAAGCCTTTACTCCAGTTTATTGGGTTTTAAGGTAAGCTAATTCTGGAAGTAGTAAATGATTCAAAACCTGGATTGTTTAATATTTTTTCAACAATAGTCTTATAATGAAACAGTTGGATGGATATGTCTGGTACGAAAAAGCACAAAAAATGTCAGTTAAGGTGTTACTCCAATAGTGAGCACATCAATATAGTAATAAACACCACATCCTATTGTGCCTACAGATTGAAGTATAATCCTAAACTTTGTCACATTAATCTTTAATGTTTTAAATTAGGATTTATAGAGTAAATTTTAATGTATTAGTTTACAAATTAAAATGGGGCTTTCTAGCAATGGAACATGGGCTTCAGGGTCACCGATAAAAAGTGTTATTTAATTACTTGTTGCTTTCTGTATTTATACAAGAAAATATTCTATCTTACCTTCATTAAAATATTATTTTGCAGTTATTAAAATTGAATGTAAATTTGTTGACATCTAGCTACACAACTCCAATTGACTTCAGAAATACCTAGATGACTAAGAACATAAAAACGGCTATGCTGGGTCAGACCAAAGGTCCATCTAGCCCAGTATCCTGTCTTATGACAGTGGCCAATGCCAGGTGTCCCAGAAGGAATGAACAGAGCAGGTAATCATCAAGTGATCCATCGTCTGTTGCTGATTCCCAGTTTCTGACAAACAGAGGCTAGGGACATCATCCCTGCCCATCCTGGCTAATAGCCATGGACCTATACTCCATGAGTTTATCCAGTTATAATAGGGTTCAAAAAAGAGCCTTGGCCTTCACAACATCCTCTGGCAAAGAGTTCCACAGGTTGACTGTGTGTTGTGTGAAGAAATACTTCCTTTTGTTTTTGTTTTAAACCTGCTGCCCATTAATTTCATTTGGTGACCCCTAGTTCTTGTGTAATGAGGAGTAAATAACATTTCCCTATTTACTTTCTCCACAAGACACATTAATGTGCTTTTGGATAAATACCCTTATTATTTCTGAAATTGGCATGCATTGTGGAGGTACTTGATATAGGATGAGAGTGTTACTACTAAACATCTAAGGACAAAAATGGATTATTGATGGCAAATGGTCCATTGAGAGAAATAGGTACATCTTTGTACACCTCTACCGCTATATAACGCGACCCAATATAACACCAATTCAGATATAATGCGGTAAAGCAGTGCTCTGGGGGGGCGGGGCTGCGCACTCCGGTAGATCAAGGCAAGTTCGATATAACGCGGTTTCACCTATAACGCGGTAAGATTTTTTGGCTCCTGAGGACAGCGTTATATCGAGGTAGAGGTGTAATTAGAAAATGATTTGTGATTCCATGAAAATCAGTCACTGTTAAATGTGTTTATAATTTGATCATAAAGTGCCCGTCTGGATGAATTCCAATCCAAATATACTCAGACGCAGTTTTATACCAGGAAAATTGTGCAGTTCTGCTGGTATAGCTGTGTCCACGTTAGGTGTGTTTTGCTGGTATAGCTATTATTTGTAGTTTGTATTTTCTATATTACCTCAGAGGATAGTGACACTAGGATGCAGGACTAGAGTCACAATTAGTATAGCAGTGCAAGCACCCTGATTCTAGTAGTTAAAGCTGGCATTGCTATGTTTAGCATCACTCTAGACAATTCTAACTTATAAAACGTAATACAATGAGAGAGAGAATTGGGCCTGAAAAACGTAAACTCTTTTAAAAAAAAAAATAAATAAATTTTGTTTGGCATTCTTTATTTTAAATAATAATAAATAAAGTTGCTTGCATACTATAAATCTGTGGGGTTATTTACACTTAAAACGTTACAGCTGCATCACTGTAGCATTTCAGTGTAAACACTTATGGGAGGAATTCTCCTGTCAGTGTAGGTAATCCACCTCCCTGCTGTATACATGGGGACTTAGATTGGTTTAAATATGCTGTTCAGTGGTTTGGATTTTTCACACTCCTGAGCGACAATTTGCTGACCTAATTTTCTAGTATAGACCAGGCCCAAGTGTCATAGTCATAGAATTTAAGGCCAGACGGGACTACCAGATCATCTAGTCGGACCTCTTGTATATCACAGGCTACAAATACAACCCAGCAACTGAAATTAGACCAAGGTATTACAACTCTCAGACTAAACTGTTATGTGCCATAGGCAAAGGATAGGAGGGACCAAGTTGCACCAATGCCCATGGCCCCTGCAGTGGCAGGGACTTGATTAAGTGAGATATACCCAGATGAATCTAGCAAGCAACCCACACACCTTATGCTCTAGAGGAAGGTGGAAAAACCCTTAAGGCACTACCAATCTGACCTGGGGAGAATTCCTTCCTGACCCCCACATATGGTGGGTGATCAGTTGGACTCTGAGCATGTGAGCAAGAACCAGCCAACCAAGGACCTGAGAGAACGAATACTCAGTACCTCCTCAGAGTACCAACTTCCCGCATCCAGTGTCCTGTCTCCAGCAGGCCATCTCTGATGCTTTGGAGGAAGGAGACCAAAAAACAGAATGTGTTGAGGTGGAGTAGAGGGAACTTCCTTCCTGACCTCTGCAGGTGACTGGTTGAAGCCCTGAAGCATGAGATTTTTAGGAACATCTGACTTGATTCAGAAGAGACACTCAGGACTGCTGATACCTGTCATCCCCCCCCCCCCCCCCCCCCCCGCTATTATCACAAGCAATCCTATCATACAAGCCCACTCACAAATTTCTCCAGTCATAAAGTACCACTCCTGAATAGATAGATTTGAAACAGTGTATGTCAGAGATCACTAGGGAACTTTTAAGGTGGAAGAGCAGGGTCCACATGGAGAGCTAGTACACAGCAAGCTGGAATGCTGTAGATTTACATCCCAGCTTGCTGCGCAGTAAGTGTATGTCTAGATATAGCCTGGATGGATGGCAGATAATTTTGCTTTTTAATTTCTTAACCAATAGTGAGGTAGTAACCACATCTTTATTCCTGTTTTCATGCATTGCTATTTGAGGATTAAAAAATGGGTTTGAAAGATGAAATATAAGTTAGTTACGTGTTATAGTTTTAAGTGTTTTTGTTCATAATTTGTCACTTTCTAAGGCCATATATTCGCTGGAGGGGGAGAGGGGAAGAAAGGGTGTATTAATTCAAGCTAGTTAATTCAACATAAAATCCTAGAGAAAACCAGGTAGTTTGTAGTTTTCATGTGTGTTAACAGGTTGGGTTAAAGCTCAACCAGCTAACCTGTGAAAATTACAGATTGCCTTGTCTTCTCTATCACCAGTTCAGGACAGACCTTTTTTGTAGTGAAAACGAGGCCTAATCTATTCACTGCCGAGAAACTTCATTAACTCAGAGCTAATATTGGCTGGTGGTGCCATATACCTTTCCAGAATGTTGAATGCACTTGTACTTAAAGCTCTGAAAACCAGGAAACACTGTTTCACGCTGGTGGAGGGGAAAGGCTTTATCTTTGATGGAGGGAAGAATAGAACTTGTCCCTTAACTACCAACATTTTAAAGAATAAGTTGATTAGAATTGTTTTCAGATACAGACTTATTTTAATGACTAAAATAGGAGCCTGTCACTGAACATTTTTTAGTGAGTTTGTCAGTATTGCCAATCCCAGCTGTTTGAAATGTGAGTCAGGAGCCCCAGAACTATGAGATGGGTCTAAAAATCATGAGATTCTAAAAAAATACCTTTTACATTCTTTCAACTTACTTCTGGTTTTTGAGCCTTTGGTATGCACTCAGGTAGTGTTTTAAGGCTTTGTTTTACAACCATGAAGACTCAACTTTTTTTAAAAAAAGTGAGAACTGATATTCTCACATTTGCACAACTCCAGGAGCTGGATTTTAAGAGAAACACAAAATATTGTGAGACTTGAAATAAAATCATGAGAATTGGCACATAGTTAAAAATTCACACTAAAGCATGATTTTCTACTTTCTATTGCTGCAGGTAATGCCATCGATAACTATAGCTAAAAAAGCAGGAGAAATATCTTCCTCTCCCTCCCTTATTCCTCCCCAGTTTATTTACTTTGTGTATAATGAGTTCTTCTGTGTAGTTACTCTCCCCTACTGTTACTGTATAAAAGATGCACTCAGACATAGGAGAGAGCATTTCTAAAAATAGGAAACTGTGACTGAAAAACCACAAATGCTGGCAATGGGAAATTGGTGTCATGCCTTAAATTACTTTTAACTCAGTTTTTTAAATTAAATAAATTGTTTACAGTTCCCTTTCAAACATGTCTGCATACTTACTACACCCTTGCAATCTTTTCAGGTGTAGGCTTTGTCAATATTTAATTCTTGGTTAATTTTTCATAACTGTGTATATTCATTTTAGTTTGCCAGGCAGTTTTGGCTTGCTATGAGGACCTAAGATGGATCCAGAAGAGCAGGAGCTGTTCAGGGACTACAGATACAGAAATTATTCTTCAGTGATTGAAAAAGCTTTGAGGAACTTTGAATCTTCAAGCGAATGGGCAGATCTCATATCTTCACTTGGCAAACTCAATAAGGTATTATATCTTGGAAGTGGTTTTTTGTTTGGTTTGGTTTGGTTTTCATTTGGGTTACTCTGTGTTGATTGCTTTGAGACTAGGACAGCTAAAGATCTCGTTAATAATGTGTCAAAGCCCAGAAAACAACTTGGGGAGCAATTATAGGTTGACTAAATAGTGGGAAGTTTGTTTTTAAAAAACAAAAATGAAAACCCCAAGGGCTTTTACAGTTAATGCAGCTATTACTCCTGGGGGAATTCTGCGTGCGCAGAATTCATGTCCATTGCAGAAATGACTTTCTGACAGGGAAGCAAAAGGAAGCTGCAAGAGTGGTCGTGTGCCCCTCCCCAACAGCAGGGCGTGTCATTTTGGGCGCCCAGAACAGCCAGCGGAGAGGTAAATTGCATGGTTGGGGAAGCCCTGACTGGGGCCAGTTAGACCCATCCGCCCAACCCCTGTGCATCCAGACACACACACCCCGCCTCACCTGGAGCCCTCCTGCACCCAGAGCCCCAGGCTCCTGGCCCTCCCCAGCCCCATCTGGGGCTCCTGTCCTGCACTGAGCTCAGCTGATAGTTCTGGCTGGGCTGGGGGTGGGTGAGGAATTCCGGTCCTGGCCATTCCATGCAGGGGAAGTGGTCAGACCCACCCCCAGAAACCTCTCCTGGCTCCGCAACTCTCGCCCCTTGCTTCCTGCCCCCATCGCTCCTCGGTCATGGGGGAGGAGAGGTCACTGTATGGGGAGCTGCTCCCTTGTCTGCCCAAGTCCTATGCATCTGAACCCTCCTGCACCCGAACCCCCACCCCACCGAGCCCCACCTTGTCCACACCCGGCCCTCCCTGCCAAGCCCCACTCCCCCTGCACCTAGACCACTCCCTGCACCCGGACCACCCTCTGCTGAGCCCCATCCCCCTGCACCCAGACCACCCCCTGCTGAGTTCCCCACACTCAAACCCCTACAGTGACGAGCTCCAGCCCCAGCTGCTTGGACCCCATCCAGGTGCACTTGGATCCCCACCTCACCAAGCCCCACTCCCTGAGCACCTGGACCCCCCACTGAGCTCCCCACCGAGCCCTATCCCTCCTACACCCAGACTCACCCTGCTGAGCCCTAACCACCTTCACCTGGACCCCCATTCAGAGTCCCATTGCCCCTGCACCCAGAACCTCCCAACGAGCCCTGTGCATCCAGATTGTACCCGGACTCCCGATTGAGCTGCCTGCACCCAGATTGCCCCACACAGAACCCTCTCATCCCACACCAAGCCCCTCAATGCTTGGATCCAGCGAGGCTGAACCTGCCTTCCCACATCTGGTGCCCCTGGTATGGAGGGGCAGGGCCTCGGTGTGTTTCTGGGGCAGGCCTGGCCCTTGCGGTGTGTCAGGGTTGGGTGCAGCCTCACCACCAAGTCAGTGTCCTGGGAGGAGATTGCAGAGTGATCTCCCACCTCCATGCAGCCAGTGGCCTGTGCACCGCATTGCCATGCTGGAGCCTCTGCATTTATTTATTGACAAATAACATTTGCAGACTTTTAAAATATTGTGCTCAGAATTTTTAATTTTTTGGTGCAGAATTCCCTCAGGAGTAAACTATTTTAATAATTTCTATATACACAGGAGGAAGAAGATTATCTGTATATATAGGAGAAGAAAATGAGAAATCTGTTTATATCATTGCAAAGGTTACAGTTAAAGCAGGAGAAGCAGGTGTGGAAACTGCAGATCTCCAAGTTCAGATGTGTCAGCAAAAGCCCCTAATGTTGATGCAGTTATACTAGCAAAACTGCACATTTAGCAGTATAACCTGCTTTGGCTACATTGTTTAAACCTTACTAACAGATTTCCAAAGCTGTGCAAAAAGTGGAGTTAGTAGGTTTACTAACTACCTGCAGTGTGTGCTATCTTCAGAAGAGAGAAGTTGGATGGTGCTACCTGGGCTGCATGAGTTATCAGTTATACCCTCGCAGCCTCGGCAAACCTTCATCATTTTTTGGACTGATAGGCTAGTCCCTGCTGTGAGAGAGAGGTTAAGGGATGTGAGGGGAACTTGGGATCTTCAGACCGTTCCACTGATCATTTCCAGATGTCACTGGGCACTTGCATGTGGAGGGAGATGAGCTCTGATCTTTTACCTTGGTTAGTCTTGCTCACTGGGGCCAGCTGACATCTACTAGCTGAAAACTCTTGCTCAGATTTGTAACTGACAAAACATTCAGCAGTAGAGTGCAAACCAAACCAAAAGCTTTTATCTGTTACATCAGTCCATCTGCCCTGGTATTTTTTAGACTTAATCTTCTTAGGGTTATAAGAATTGCTATACCAGACCAGACCAGTGGTTCCTCTAGTCCTGTATCTTGTCTGAGGTTATAGACTATACCAGATGCTTCAGAGGAAGGTCCAAAACACCTATTGATTGGAAAATTATGGAATAATCTGCTTGTAAGGAAAGTTTCCTCTTGCCTAAGCAGTTACTAGCTCTCTTATGTCTGAAGCATAATTAATTACTGTTTAGTTCCAGGAGTGCCCATGGAGTGTCTGTTTCTCTTCTCCCCCCCCCCCCCAATATTGGCAGTGCAGTCCCCTGGGCAGGGATTTTATAACCTAAAGACACACAGCAGGTACTGCGGAGGGAAGCAACTAATACTGCTATGTTAATAAATGTATTTTTAAAATGGACATGAAAATTTATACTCAGTGAGCATGACAGTGTTGGTTAACAAGTTTCTTATAGGCATCATGACAGGTGGGTCTTCAGAAGGAACTCAAATGTGAAAAGAATGGGGGGCTTTGCGAACGAGCTCAGGGAGATCCTTCCTGCATAACGGATAGCATGAATGATGGCAAGGAGATGTTTGGGAGAAGCATCAGAGTTAATATCCCAACTTTTTAATCTTCTCTTATTTCATGTAGTTATCAGTGTTCTTATATTTTGATTTATAAATTGATTTAGATTCTACTAAGCTCTTGGCTTCACTGAATTTTTGCAGTAGTGAATTCAACAAAATAATTTGGGGGGGGGGGGGCAGGGCGGAGGTTGTATAAACTTTTTGCCGTTCAACTTCATTGGAATCTCCACTTCTTCTTGTATTAAGAAGGTAAGCTGGTTCTTGTAGGGATGAGGGGGGTAAAGGGGAGAAGAAGATGATCTCCAGTACGCCTCCTCCAGCTTCGTGGCTGTGGTGAAGCAAGGGGAGAAAAGAGGTCTATGCAGCTCTATCGCTCTTCTCCACTGCCTGCTGTTTTTTTGTGCTTCTCCTCTGTGAATATCTCCAGTGTCTCGCTTTGCTGCTGCTTACAGTCTTACCAAGTAGTAGCAGCATGAAGCTGATGTGGTTCTTTGCAATTTCATTGTTGTCCCCAGGGTTCTGAATAGCAGCTGTGAAGCCGACTAGACTTCTGTTCATTTTAATCTGTTGCTGCTTGACAAAATTTGAGCAGCAGTGGTACTAGAGTAGTCTGCAGACTGAGAAATACAGCCCTACCACATTTAATGTTCTTAATACACTTGTTGCAACCATAAGGATTAGAGATCAATGTAACAGATACTGCAACCACATGCAGTATTTTTGGGCGCCATGTTGTATTTTATGTTTTAATGCGTGAACATGAAATAACCATTATATTGAGACGGGCTAGACAGTATTAGCTGTAGAATATTCATAGCCCTTGGTGTCAGTGTGAGTGATATGTATTTGTGTGTTTTAAGGGAAAGGAGGTGCTTTGAAGGTTGGCCTTCTGGGGAGTCATGGGAAGGACTGGTTTTACCTGTTATCAGGAGGCTGGGGGACAAAGCAAGATTATTTTTTTTATAAAAAGCCAACTTTAAACAGACGCTTTGATTTTGAGTCAACAAATGGACAAGACTTTGTGTCCAAGAGGTGAGACTTCAACCCTTGGTGAAGGGTTAAAAGTAGGTTGAGCAGATAGAAAGTGTGAAAAATCAGGACGGGGGTAATAGGCGCCTATATAAAAAAAGCTCCAAATATTGGGACTATCCCTATAAAATCGGGACATCTGGTCACCCTAGTTAGAAGGGATGTTGTTCTACCAGATGCCCCAAGTGAAAGATGGGCAAACAATAAAAAGATTTTAATGCTCACTAAACAGGTGTGTTTAGTGAGCATTAAAATCTTTTTACGATTTGTTTTTTCTCTGTGATGCTTTTGCCCTAAGAATAAAAGTGCTTGCTTAGCAAGAGCTGTTCAGATTACTGGTAAATCATACCTTTCATAGCCCTTGGAAAGAAAGCTCAGCCTAGATGCTGGCTTTAAGGCAGACTGGGTTGCTGTGGATATCACAGAGTATGTCAGGCAGCTGTGCAGCCTTAAAATCCCCTGTCAGAAGGGAGTAGGACAGAGACAGGTGACAGCTGGAGGTCTGAGACCTACCTAGGTGCTCCTGGAGTGGACCTGGAGGAGCAGTATAGGTGCAGTTGCCCTGAAACTGTGACAATCCATTTTTTATAATGAAAGCTTAAAGTCTGCAGAAATTGGTGATTTATGACCCCATGATTGCCAGGGAAGACTTTCCATTTGTCACTTACGAGTGGATTTTTTCAAGCACTACTGTAGAAAATAATTTACTATGTTTATAAAAGGTCTATTCCAAATACATGGAAGTGGACTGTGTTAATTACCAAAAATTAAATATTGACACATTCATCAGTGTTTTAAAGACTTGAAATGTTTTTCATAATTTTCCCATGAAACATAAGCAATTATAGATAAGTCTCCATATTTCTCTTTAGCATGAAAATGGGATCTTTGTTGGCTAGAATTTCATGTGTTCTTTCTCCTTATGTATCACTTGAAGACATAATCCTTGATGTAAGTGCATTTCCTGGGATTTAAACAGCTTTACATCTATTTCCTATACTGTGGATGCACAGTACGACCAGACTTAAGAGTCAAATTTAATTTGACTCTTAAAAAAAATAAATCCTGTATCCTTATTTCCTTAATCTATTTTTGTCAGGTTTGTAATTTCTAGTGCTCATGGCCTGTATAATCGAAATATA